TATTAATTTTATGAATTATTTAGTCTTTACTTTTATAATTTCACCTAGGTATGATACAACACAAGTTGATATTAATCAAACAAAATATGAATTTATTCAATCCACGATATCCTGAATTTTAAAAATGCTCAAAATTGTCTTAGTTTTCAAACTATTCTGAGAGGAGGTAAAGATTTGAGGTAGATATCACAATAATGTGATTTGGTTTGAAAAAGAAGAACATTTGGGATATGAAGACTAAGACAAAGAAAGACAAGAGCAGTGAGAGGCACATTATAAATATTTCGGAAAATATTTGAATGGTAGGTTGGAGTGACTTTATTACAAAGGTCACAGAAAAACATCTGACATCCTCAGATAGAAAGTAGCATTGATTTAGGAATATTCAACAGTGATGTCATGTTGAGTTGGTGGGATTTGGATGATGGTAATTAGAATTATTCAAATATTAAGTGAAACTTTCCTACAAGGTTAGTTTCATTATTGCGGAAAAGAAAAGATGAAATGGATGCGAGATGCTGTGGTTGCAACTACTTGCCTTTATATGAAACTAACCACCTCTGGATTTAAATAGGTCTGATGCACTTGTTAGTGGTTAGACCGGAAGTACATTTGAATGAGGGACTAAGGATGAAAACTCAACCTAATAAAAAAGGACATTCATTTCGAGATATTAGGACTAAGAAGAAAATTTGTCAATGTTGAACACTATGGATGCTGACTAGATATCATTTTGCCATTTAAATGTGTGTCTCCTATGAACCTAAGTATTAAAGTCAAAAATGTTTTATTTACAAGACTCTAAGTGAAGAGAAAACAGCTACTTTTTGCTATCTTTTTGTAGGTCATGACTCAAAAGGTGAAAGAAACATTTTCCTCCAGCTCTAAGATGTCATGCTTCTGGGATTTTGCCACTGTTGCAGAAGCAGCAGAAATGATGTTCCAAGTTTGAGAACAGTGGTCTGCAGAGGTTTTATCAATAACCAAGGGGTATGATCAGACTCAATAAAAGAAGGCCAAGATGAGTGATATCAGGACAGTTTGAATGTTAAAAAATTAACTTGGTCAGAGTACAAACAAGATGCTACTGGGGACCCTGAAAGTAGGAGAGAAGAAAAGATTTTCAGGAGATGGATCATAAATTATGAAAAAAAAATAGCACGTAAAGGATGGGCAGTATTGGCATGTATATGAGTTGGTTATTATGGTAGGTAGAATACTGGATCTCCAAAGATGTTCATGTCCCAATATTTTGTGAATGTATTATGCTACATGATAAGTGGGGGAAGGAATAAATGTTGAAAATAAAATTAATGCTGTGAACCATATAATTTAGGGGAATATTTTGGATTATTCAGTTGCAACCAATATGATCACAACAACCTCTATAGGTGGAAGAAAATACAGAAAGAGGAAACCAGAGAGATAGAAGTACAAGGGAGATTCAACTAATCAGTGGTCACTGCAGATCAAAGATGGAAGGGGCAGAAGCAACGGACTGTGGTCAGAAGCTTTCTGACCACAAAAAAGCAATTTTTTTTAACATGAAAGATTTTCCCCAAGATTCCTCAAAAAAGGATATAGTCTTGATGAAACCTTGCTTTTTATTCAGTGGGACCCACTTTAGGCTTCTTTCCTCCCAAAATTCAGAATAATAAAGTTGTGTTAAGACCAACTTTGTGATGATTTGTTACAACAACAATTGTAATAAGTAATAATTGACAATAGAAACTGTCTTAGGGGAGAGAAGATTTAGCTCATTTATATTCATTTTAAGAGTGATATGAATATAACAC